CCAAGATTTTATACTTATTTACTAAAAATGTTTATTATGCTGGACGAATACTATCAGATTGAATAGGAAAGCTGTGAAACAAGAAATCTGTTGTATTACTGAATTATAGTTTCTCGTAACTGCTATTTCTGTTGTTGGACAATGCTTGGATAGTTATTAATTCATGCTATATTTATGCCAGTACATTCGGAGGGCTTTTGAAAAGTCGTGTTACAGTTCATAAATAAACCTTCTTTGTAAACTAAACAATACCTAAAACTATAGTGACTGCTATATTTAACATCGTTCACTAATCTATACTTAACACAATGATAGTGAGTATATACAAATAAACTTCAGCACTTTAAATAAACTATGGGACTATCATAATGATTTGTTGATCATGAGTAAAGTTTATTTACTTTTATAAAGTAACTTACTATATGAGGACAAATTTTATCATCCAATGATTTTCACTTCACTGTTGGTCCAATCAAATCTTAGCCAACTAGAATTTGAGATTTGGGATTAACATACAAACTCGATAAACTGTGATATTTCTGACAAAATACTTACAATAAGAAAGTATGGTTTAGTATCTGCTTTTAACGTTCATTATTAAATTAATCTATGACAAATCTACCTCATTCCCGAGGAACTTATTCATTTGAATCACAAAAATCCGAGATAAACAAGAGAAAAAAAAAATTTGATGATGGAAGTATATGTTTTGGTCCATTACATCGCTACGTTCACTTAAATGATGCAACAAATTCACAAATATTTACATTTCTTTTGCTACCACATCTTTTATGTGGTTTAGTTAATTATGTCGAGACGCAAGTATTCCAATATGCTGAACACGAATGGTTTGTAAGATTCGAAAGAACCGATACTCATCTAGGTTTTTACTTGGAGTTGATTACGCAGAAATCCGAAAATTGTGAAACTATGTTCATAACATCATCACAGATACCAATCAATAAATCGGACCATAATGTCACTAAACGTCCAACACAATGGAAAACTATTACGTTAGATTTTGAATTCACAATAAAAAATCGAAATGTTTTCAGTCAGAATGAGTGTTTTTCCAAATCAAATTGTACATTTACACAAGATAGTTGCAGACATGGACGTAAAAATGTCATAGATTTATCTACATTATCCTCGAAACGTTTTTTATTTGATGACGGTAAGTGTATTATAGAATTAGGGTTACGTAACCCACATATATGCATAAAACTACAAGCAAACCAAGTTGAAGATCCCACAAACCATCTGTTACTTAAAAAAGACAGAAAAAGAACTCATAATAATGGTTCTGTTGTATTAAGACGAATGGATAATGAAACAATCACATTTCCAGATACCATTCATTTCGAAACTGATCACTTTTCATATGCTGGTGATACATGGGTTCTTACTATTGACATTGAACCATATCGTGACTTATTGAGAAATTTAACTTTTGACAGTGATAATAATCATGATGTATGTGCAGATGTGGAAATATGCTTGACAAAAAAGTCAGAGCATAAGACAGATAATTACACGTATTATAATGCTGAGAAACCACTTGGAACACAGTGGACACGACTACTGTGTAATGCCTATTTACCAGGTGAATGTCATACCGGGTTGATGCAGTTTTTAATAGGATCACAAGGATGGCCATTGAAAGCACATTGTTGCAAGTTTGATGAACGAACAAATGTCGTAAAACAACAACAGCTAAAACAAGGAGAAAAAAGCCAAAATAATATTTTGAAATTTAATTCGTGTGAATACTTGGAAAAAGGTAAAACACGTACTCATCAATCAGCAGTCGCTTTTCTTTTAAGCACAGTTTCATCAAAATTCTGTATCACATTAGAAATGATATTTTATGAACGATTAACGGTGGTTAATTTTCCTATCAATAATCTTGACAATTTTAATCATGTTGACAGTTGTCTAATTATGGATCCATTTTCGCTTCCATGGAGGCTGTTTCTGAATAGATCATCACGTTTAGTGAGAGTAGGGCTGGTTCCGGAGCAGAAACCAGATTTGGAACATGAACCAGAATATCTGAAAAGCAGTGAAAAATCGTCAAAAATACAAAGCAAACAATCTCACTCAGAAAGGAGCACTATACCAAGCGGTTATCTATATCTCTTCGGTTGTAAGCTTCGTATTCAAGGTTATCAATCAGACGGAACCAATACTCGTGTTATTGAACCAGTTGGAAAAGAAATTTTACAAATCACGTGCAAAAAATCGGATTTCTATAACGAATTGCTGCTATCTAACCGACTTCGACATTCTGGAATAAACGTTCCGCAAAATAATTTGAATATTCTTTTAATTAAAAATTTACCGAAATATTTACTCAAAAATAATGGTGCTGAACTATTGCAAAGTTTGTGTAATACTAGTGTTATGGACATAGATAATAAAATATCTAAACGTTTGTTGAGGAAAGCTAGTCAAATTAGTAGCGTGCAGGTGGCCATGGAAATAACATGTCAAGAAGTAAGTGATCCAATCAATTTTGTCGGTTAGAAAATCACTATTCATTTATAACTATTTGTTATTTTTGTGCTTTTTATCAGTTTGACCTCACATGAGTGAATAAAAATGCGCTGGGTATCCTAATGCATACATGCTATGATAAAGTCAAATGAATATGTGCTACGTAACCGCAACCATAAGCATACAATGAATAAAGTCCACCAGTTTTCATGTGAACGTAAAGTTAACTATATGAATATCGATTTCCAAGTATAAGAGCTTCCTATTTGACTCACAGTAACATTCGGTGTTAGTTCGATGGGGAGATTCAGCATTATTTTTTATGATAATGTAATTTTGTTGGGAACTGTTGTCTGAGAAATATGTACTGGCTCAGATGGAATAAGAAGTCTTGTTGAGCTTCGTTGGCTCCGTTCTAATAACTTCATAATTATGATGACACTACAACCTATACTTCACTTATCGTTAAAAATGTCTTTCCTTTATAGCTGTGGTCATTTACTATCAAAAAAGCAACACAAATTAATTATAGCACATTCTAGTGGAATTCAAATATGGAATAAAAAATATAAATTACAATGTTGCTTTTTTCCTAAATATCTATGTATTTTTACCAATTCGGAATCTATACAAATAATTTACCTCAAAACAAACAGGCAATAATCTGTTTTATGTGCAATCACAATCTTACTTGAATTAATTAATCGTAATTTGGTTTGATATTTTTGTATTTCTTGTCACTTTTAACTGCATTCAGTGTCCAACTAAATCGTTCTGAAATAAACTGTTAACAGTTTTCAGATGAGTCCCTTGTTAATTCACATTCTTTTGAACTCCGGCTTCTTGGAAAATATGTTATATGACCTTCTGTCTTTATCAATAACATATTTTGTCGTTATTGGAAACTTAATCGATCTGAGATCTATTGCTTTTAATCCCAAACACTGACTATCTTGACCGTAACTTCAACATAATATATACTGTACACAATATGTACTGTAACAATATTTATAAATTTATAACTGTAGATGTTGAAGAAAAAGGTATCGAAAGCGATTGTTCTTTTAAATAGTCTTTATTTTTCGAATGTCTAGATTAAGATCTTACCTTGAATCAGAATAATGAATTTTGTAATTTGAATTTACTCGACATTCGTCATTATGAAATTTTACTGTCAATACAGTCACCATGTTTCATAGTTATCTTTCCAGAAACACAGCCAACATTATCCATATTTGGTTACATTGAAACAGCCTATCTTTATTTTGTCAAGTAATCTCTAGCCTATAACCGACAGATTAACTAATGATTTTCTTAAAACCGAAAGAATTGTTGATTCCTCACACTAATCGGCAACTGAAGCTTAAATATCTGTATCTTAATAGGAAATATAAAATTAATTTCAACCCAGATTACAACGTATACCTCAGAGAAAAACCAAAATACTGGATTCAAATACAGTATTTCATGAATTTAAATGAATTTTTATTATGACAAATTAAATCTGAACCAGGTTATATGATCAGCGAAAAAAACTTTACACTAAACAATGTGTAACTAAACAAGCACTTTCTTTAAACGATTTTCATCAGAATGCATTTATTTATTGCTTAGTGTCATCTATTAATTACAAATTGTTTATTGAAAAAATAAGTATTATTCATTGACTCTTCTACAGCACCAATTATTCTTACATATTCATCGAAATCGCATTGAACTTAAACGTTATAGTTCGCTATTTTAGTTTCGATTATAATGTCCGTTATTTTAATGATTAAACTTTAAAGTTAGAAATCAGCCACGCGTATCAAGCTAAGCGATTATAATAAATTCATTCATTCGACAGATCGGTTGTCAATGAGGAAAGTAAGTGTATTTCTAAAGAGGACTAAAAAAGTTACTTCCTGGATAAAGTACTTAATCATGAATAAATTTATAAAAAATAAAATTTCAATATAGTGAAAATTCCCATTTTGACATTTGGTAAATAAAGAAGGGACGAATTGAACGAAGAAATTTCTTTTCAATTAGTTTCTCATCATGGCTCTACACTATTATATACATTATTATATATGTATGTATACATATACAAATGTAGAGCCATGATGGAAAACTAATTGAAAATAAAATTTCAATAAGAATATTCAAACGAAACTTGGTAACGAATGATTATACTTTGTTCCATTTTAATCCTTGAATATGTCAACATCACCCAATTCTTGCCAGAAACAGAATTACATAATTTATTAATTTTGAGCAAATATATTGATTTCCTTTTTGAAATACAAGCGGTTTTTATATTGAAAGACTTTAATTTACACGTCAGTATATTGTAGACGACAATAATTCAAAATATTTTGTCGTCAAGATTCATGTTAGCTAAATTGACAAACCATATATGTAAAGAAAAAATATATTACTGAATCAATTTGTTTTTCACAAATCTCAACTCCATTCATGATCATTAATAAAAGTTATAACTAAGCTAAATCCACTTAACACCTTGTTTAAGTTTTGATATTTAGAGGAATGTCAAAAAAACCCAACGAAAATCAGTTGTAAAAAGTGATCATAATTCAGTAAATTTACAACTAGATCTTAGCACTTTAAAGCTAGGGAGAAGAGAATAAAGATTGGGACGAAAATATGAAGTGTTTCAGAATTGTAATTAATAAAATAGTTCTGCCTGGAGTAAAATTTCATATATTATCAAACTGAATGCCTATTTTATCATACTATATATTACTACCTTCTTGTATACATGTTTTCTGTTACCTGAGAAACAATAAACATCATAAATTGAACCATATAAATATATATGAAGAATTTACCAGTTGTACAGAAATATATACTCAGTATATATGGCAAAACAGATAAGTTGTCAACCAACATGTTTTGTCACAAATCAACCATTGTGTTAAATATTTATATTTAAAGAAGTAAATACAGTTGAAAGATACCATGGATGATCAGTATCAAGGTTTTAAAAACTAAGATTTCTTAACAAAACTTAAGGTTAAATACTATGGATCATATTTTTTCTGTCATTTTCACGATTTATTGAAAAACTTTAATTGGTTTTCAAACAATGTGTATAAAGTTAGACGTACTGATGTTACGTCAGATACCATGAACACGCGTTTTATTGATTAAGGTTTTCATGATTCGACTTTTACTATATACTTATGTACTATCGAAGATTTTAAAATGTGCATATGAGTTTACAGGGCCTGATCAGCGGTAAGCATTTTCTAACACTTACTAGAGATGACATAACCGATGAGTTTATAAATATGTTAATTTACACAAAGGATAAAATCCTGTCTGTTATTGACACTCCAGTTAGCACTATGAATATGATAATTCTTGTATTCTTGTATTTTTTTAAAAAAAGACTTTCAAATGCATCTAATGAATATATTTTGTACATGCTGCAAAAGTGTATTTATTATCGTAAATTTTCTAGGGAAGCAGAAAAGTAAAGATCATTACATACAAAGCAACTGAGGTTTACCGATAACGGTTTTAACTCAAAGGAATTCCAGAAAAGCATTTCTCTTTTGTTCTTTGTTTTTTCTGCAGTTAACTGGGTCAAATATGGGAATATTAAATCCTAAAACAGGTACTATTACGATTGAAATTCAGTGGTTGTATAGACATCAAATATACATCGATACACTTTATCAAACAGATGAAATTGGTGCCCGCCAATACCATCAAATGAGGTAATTAAAAATAACAATATTATATCATACTTTATTATTTGTATGTTTAAACTTCTGTCTTAGTGACTGTTCATTGTGTTGTTGTTTACAGTTCAAGACAAACTCATAACAATTTTAAACTAAGATCTTTCAAGATATTTTAATTTATAAGATCTAAAAAGACCGGTGGCTTGTTTGAAAATCTACGCTACTATTTTCTAACCGTTTGAATATCAACAAGTTAACTAGTTTTTCTTTGTTTTAATTATGATGTCAAATAACTGTATAATTTATTCCTGTGTTTATATTTCAATAGCTGCAACCTCTCAGTTTGAAAAATGCAATAAAATTTAATGAGACATCTCATTAGCTAGGATAATTCATTAGAAAGATTAAAGTTAATGTCGATTCCGGAAATGTTTTTCTAACGGCAGATCACTCTTAGGAAAAGTGAATTATCTTCGATTTCTCTTGAGCTGAACATATAATTTAATTGTAGTTTAATTGTAAATCAAGAATCCTGGTTAAATGATCTGTTTGATAATAATTTGTTACTAATCAGTTCTGAGATTTGTCGTCAGGACCGTTCAAGTTAAATGAAAATGTGAGGTGGTTATGTAGTTTTGTTTGTAAATATGAATAGTGACAATCTAATTGTGTAAGCACTAGTTTATCGAGCGATTTTATAGACTGTTTTACGCTGAAATGCATTCCAAAAAACTCGAACAAATACAGTTATCTTTATATCAACGTGACTGCGGATCACATAACCTCATCACCAAGAGAAATTCATTGAATTTGCCTCAACTTCCCTCATTGGTTCACCTTTAATCGTATTTATCAATTTTAAGTCACGAGATTTCATCTTCCTTTCATCACCCAAACCTAGTCAACTTCTCCACTAATTCTGATGCTGTTTTGAGTTTAATTTTTCTTACTGATGTAGGAATATGTAAGACGAGCTCATCTTAGTTCTGATCATAACATAAATCGTGTTTTGGTCAACTTATATTGAAAGCCTAAAAAGTATGCACCTCTTATCAAACGAGGAAAGTTAAATATAGAAGCTACACTTACGAAAGCATCTGAGATCTTAAAACATATCTAGAATGACAATTTCTGATTGATTTACAAGTGATTCGTTGCAAGACATTATTGATGTTGTCACTTGTTATCTTAAATTTTGCTTTGAAATTTGTTATCCTAACGAAACAATTTTAGTGAGATTCAATCAACTACCTCCTCAAAGCTAAAAAAAATTAAAGATATAATAGGAAAGGCTAAATTCTGAGATGAGTTATGAAATTAAGCGCCTGAATTTTATGTTTGCTGGAAAACTTTTATCTTGTTAAAACTCTTCAAGTATATGGGAGCAATTTAAAGAGCCTGTAGGCACTAAATGGATTAGTGATAACACTCAGATATATGTGTTGTAAATAAGTTTTTTATGAGTCGAAGATTTAATTATGCTTGTCTTATTTGTTCGATTTGGTGGGAACGTCGTTTATCAATATTTACCAATAATGATGTATTAAAAGTTAGTTTACTTAAAAACCACTTAGAAATACTTTGGATAATAATGTAGTATTCGTTTCATAAAGAGTGATGAGTATATTCGACATATGTTTCTAAACTACATCTCTGTCTTTGAATTTATTCGAAGAATACTGTTCTAAGTATATTCTTTCCCTCTTTCTGTTCTTTCTTCTCGGATGGTCTGCCACTTTCCAAAAATCTTTAATTATGTGGAAACCTCACCGCACGCATGCCAATTTGTTCCCTAAGATTGGTTTGAAACAAATTAGTCCTTAGAACAGATTGAATGATGGTCTATGGATAATAGTCCTACAGCAAATCTGTAGACACATAAGACGATTAACTCTGACTGGAGATATGAAAAGCACAACAATTGTACTACTGAGTATTCTGTAATGAAGCCTTTATCAAATGTTATTCATCTTGGTGTAGGTTTCATATCTGGTTTCTCTTGACCTTCCCATGTTTTGTTGATATCAAGGGCAGTTTTTCATCTGACTTATTGTATAAACAGGATGCTTGTTTGTGCCATTACTTGATACCTATTTTTACAGTTTGTAAATCCCTATATTTACCCTATTGTCCCATATTATTCCCCATTATACTCCCCTGGGCTTTTAAGAAAAGATTTTCTGTGTTGCTGGAGACAAATACTAAGGTATGGGGGGATGTTTTAATGTCATTATGAATATAGTTGTGGATAGACATTTAAAATCTGGGAGACAACAGGTAAGTGTTATTTTATCGGATACAAACCACTCATTTTATACACTGGTTTCCCTTTCATATTTTCTGATGGAAAGAGATGCAGGTAAAAATGCAATAAACCTATACAACACCGTAATTTAGGACATGCACCGTTCTATAAATAGGTTGTAAAGGCTGACCTAACCAGAAACCTATGCTCCTGAGTATCCAGGTTATTGACTACTACAAAATTTATACGTTCTTAGAAAAATTACATTCAGCTGCATAGTTTATCAAATGTATAGGAACTTCTATGAAGAATAAAAAAGACTTGCTGAAGTGCTATATACTGTGGATTCCATAATGTACTAAATATATCGTAGTGACAAAAGCTATTGTCTGTAATGTTATTCAGACTAGTGATATTGTTTTTCTGTTTGAAAAATATTCTTACTTGGTTAATTGAAAGATATGTTATGGTACTAACTATCCATTAGAAAGAAAGGCAGTTTAGAGTGCGACTTTTGAAGTAAAGTACGAATAGACGTTTAAAATTACAACAGTTGTCATTAGAAACTAATATTACATGAAATTCATACTATCACTAGCTGTAATTGTTTTTCGAGTTTCTTTATGATGTAGACATATGATTCAGGTTTGCTCCTGATTATTTTCTAGATGTGTATTATTAGTACAGTTAGTTTGCAAATATATAAGTCTGTTATCCATAGTTCATATACAGAATACTATCGTAATGTTTTGTAATAGCAAGGTAAGTTAAAGCAAGCTTTTTAAAGAGAGTTTATTGATACTTCGTTTCAGTTACTGGGATAAAATTAGTAGATTAACCGACCACTTCTTTTAAATAACACTTAAGAATTTAGCTATATGCATAATTATTTTTGTGAACTGAAGATGTTTGGAAAGATATATTTCTCAGAAAAGCGTAATACTTTATTGACACTACGATGCCATAATATAGTTCTATGAAATCTTAAGGTATATTCGCTGGTTCAGTGCACCCGGCACTTAGTCTTTCAGTAAACTAGAACACTTTACGTCCTTTTAGGAAGGTATTTCAAGCTTTAGTGAGAATTAGACGTCATAGAATAAATCTAATTTTCAAAATTTATTTATTCTGATGATAACTGAATCTTAATGACATTTTTAGGTATCAAGAAAGATTCAAAATGTCAAAACCACTAAGGTCAAAGTAAACCCGATATTTTCAATAATATTTTGTAGAATTAGTGATAGGTTGATCTTAGATGAACCTGACAGTTTTTTCAAAAAGGATATGATTTAGTGACATTAGTAATGTAAGGCAGTCACCAAAAACCTGCTCAATAAACGCATTATATTTGATTCAAAACATATGGAATGTCGCAAAACGTTTTTTAAGAGGAAAGTGATCTGGTTAAGTAAAATATGGGCTGAGATACTGAAATGAAAAGAAGTTATTTTCAAAATCGATGACAGCTTTTATCAGCCTACACGGAAATAAAACATTTCTGGGTATTACTCTTTTTTAATGTTTAAAAATAAACCGTTGATTGTTCATCATAGTAACATGTGGAGAGTGGTCACGAAAAATGATAAACATTATTCAACCGCTGGTCAATACTCCTCAGCTTGGTGTTAAAAACGACTCGTATATCTATTTGGAAATCTATGTTCCTTTGATATTCATATTAAAACTCCTTTGATTTCTTTTTCAAAGTATTTTCCCTCAGTTGTCGAAAGTTCTCATTTTAGCTCATATTACTGATAACGAGAGCTGTGAAGTCAGTTATGAATTCTAGTTATTACTTACAACAACTGAGAGGTGTGACACCAGTTTTCTTTTAATCTTAAAAATGCTAATCCATAGGATCATATATTAGTCCTTATTATCATCAATACACATATTATCGATATACATTTTTGTATACCAGAAATTGGATGATCATTAAATCAGTCACTCAGTCAGTCATAACGTAGAGCCTGGTACGTATGTAAATCGGTCAAGTTGTCATACATCATTAGCACATAGAAATAAAGTTGTCAAGCTACTTTCCAGAATATCGGAGATAGTAACAGTGTTAGTAGCAATAGGAAACAATATCTAAGATAGGACTCGGAAATAAAATATCAATTAGAGAAATAAAAACAGATAAAGTTGCGAGGAATTAAGAATCTCAGGAAGACAAATAATGAGCCGCTGAAAACGATTTTGATTCATGTCATTCAAAGTCTTTAAACACAGGTTGTGATAATCACACGCACCCCAACCAGGTAGTCTACACCTATTAACATGAATAAGTTCACTTATCAGTAACTACATGGAATGATGCCATGTCTTGGTTTGGCCGCTCCTGGCTTTCTTTCAGCCCACTGAAAATCATCGTCCCTCGAGGTAGGCGGTGGTCAGGCATACGTAACACATCTCCCAACCACCGAAGTTGATGGAGATATACTACTTCATCAGTCGACTTCTTATCTTTCTCTGTTACTAACTCAGGCCTTGCTCAATCTGTGGTCCCAAAATACACGAGCAGTGCTTCGGCAAAACCTATATCAGAATACCAGTGGTCTACAAATATCCTCTACTCTTAATGCCCATGTCTCACATTCAAAAAGTAAGAGAGCGAACTGCTACGCAGTAAACTCACTCTGTGGTTGGCAGGCGAATATCTCGCTTACGCCATAAATGACCCAAATTGGCAAAAGCCGAACAAGCTTTCTGAATTTGTGCTGAGATTTCGTCAGGCACAAAACCGTCAGACTCCCAAGTACAGTGAAGCAGTCGGTACGTTCAACTACTCCACCCCTATCTCTAATTCGGGCGCTGGTGCAAACTAATCCTGAGGTAACATTTTGCATTCCGAGAGAGAACCGCGCTCCAAACGTGCTTGCATTGTTGTTTAGGTTGGTCAGACGACTGCAATTTGCCAGCGGCTTCACCAAGCAAAATTGTATCCTCTGCTTGCCTTAAGTCAACAACTGAATCTCCTAGTAGGAGATCGGTCTCTGAACGGTCACAATGATAGAGTTACCTTGAAGAATATGTCTATGATAAAGATAAATGAAAATAGCAGTAATCCATAAACTTTGACCCGATCACAAGTGACCGAGTGGAGAGTCTGTACAAGATTGGTGTACTTCTTTGATACGCCTTTCAATGACAGACTGCCACACAACCCCACAATCAACGGAATCGGAGCCGCTTTAGGGCCAAGGGATACAACCATAATCAGAATTCCAAAATTATTTCTGCTACAGAATCTGCCGAAGGGCGAATATTTGGTTCATACATCCATGTTCAGGTCTGCAGACATCCTGTTTTCTTGTATTTGCTCTTCACTAACTCTATTTAAAAGCCGAATCGTTACTGAGGCTAATATTTTAGATACTGTATCGATTAAACTGATTGCTTTGAGATTGTTACAAGGAAATTTTTGTCCTTTCTTATAAACTGGGACGATCGGTGATTGAAACCAGTTAGATGGGATTACATCCAGTTACCAGATTTTAACTAAGATTTCAATTAGTGGAACTGCTAAAACTGGACCCCCAACCTTAAAAATCTTGGGTGTTAGTCAATTAGGCCCTGGTGCTATCCATCACTTAGATTAACAATAACCTTATCAACCTCATTAAGATTTCAAGCACTTACATCAGTTTGCCTTCAGGTTACTTGGAGATAGCAGGTAACTGAATTACCGCTAAAGGCCATTCCCCTAGTGTTTTGCCAGTCGGTTCAATCTCCTGGATCGAGAGTGGATAATAGTCCTGCCGGATCTTTAATACACGTTTCTTTGATAAGTCTGGACAGTAATCTACTGTCACCCACTGCTGTCTTTTTCATCTCTTCCGCTTTTGCTACCCACCACTACTCACGACCATTAGGTAGGCTTTTTATAAACTTACGTCTAAGCTGCCTTCGCTCCAAATCATGTTCAGAACCAAATGTAATGAGTTTCCAAGCATCTGTCAGGTTTGTAGACGGAGCTGAAATTCACTGATTTTTTCTAACCTAGTGATTCAAGTTACTAGTGGATGTCATTACTGTGTCCACAACGTTTTGGATATCGTGCCAAGCTACCTTAGGGTGGATATCACATTTAAAGTTGATTAACTCCTTCTCTAGTTGTTCGTGAAATATATTCTTAACTTTTTCATAATGAAACTGAACTGTATGGGGTTATCTTGCCGCGGTTTTCTACGTTCAGCAAAACAAAGACAAATATGTGTGCCTTGTATCGAGCCTCTCTAATTATAGCTATTTGAATCCATCGATGGGTCGATTGTGGATGTTGTCACGTCGGACAATGTTTCTCCTTATGTTCAAAGTTAGTGTCTACCAAAAATAAAGTTCTATGAGCATAGCCGCGACAGACGGTCGGTGTTATCTGAGGAGCGACACCGTAAGAACTGTATAAATGCCTTTCGGTTTGGTTTAGTTTACGTACTTCAGCAGTAAAATCTCCAAGATTAGATTATTATTATTATTAATATTATTATTATTATTATTATTATTATTATTATTATTATTATTATTATTATTATTATTATTATTATTATTATTATTATTAGAGAAACTAAGAGGTACTGATGAACAAAATTTACTAATGTGAACCAGTCAAAACAAAAGCGTTCAGAGATGCGAAACGTGTCTGAAAATATATTTTAAATTAAAAACGCCTTAGCGACAAATAGAATTTAGTTTTTATTGCGAAGCATTACAAGCCATTGAGATGTTACTAGATGAATTAAAAACTTTTTTTCAATAAAGGGATTGAAACTTATTTAAGGCGTGGTACATACGTGGGAAAACGAACCTTTTTTGAAAAATCTGATTAAAAATATTTGTTTCATACTGTGCTTTTATACGAATAATGAGAAGTATATTATGAAAATAAAAATTTACAGTGATAAATATAAATACGGGAATTACGAAAAGAAAAACGTTTTTTGATGCAAACAACTAAGAAATAATCCGTGAACAATTTTAATATAGTTTGAGTCCATCCATATTTGACCTTTTCTTTGTAAGATTACCATGGATACGATGGGTAGAGAGACATTGAACGGTTTAATTTCATGTTTGTAGCTTCCAAAGTGATAAAATTACTGAACATAAGTAATATCTAATTCAGATCTATAAAAGGTTCAAAATTTCAGACAGTGTAACATTTTTCATGTATTTTCCAATTATTACGATTAAAGGATAATTTGATGGGTTTATCCAAGACAGGACAATTTACTAACAGTGTATAAATCTCAGTACTACAAACCAATAGTACTCCTGAAACTATAAAGTTAGTGTGAAAACATATATTATCATGTGCGATCTGCGGCTTCGTTAGCCAATAAAAGTCTTTGTGACGCATACCTTTTGTCATTCGTACGTTATAATACAATATATTTTAAATTCATCTGACTCACCGTTTTCGATTGCCTTTTGCCAGTTATCATCTACAGCCTAAATGATATTTTATTTTTTTGCTTAACCTAACGACGATAACGAAAGGGACGGAAGAAAGTCATTATAGGCTGGGGTTTATCTGCGGATTAGCCCGGACAATTAACTAATTCTGTCCCAACTTTATCGCTCCACATGACGTAATAAATAGATCAAACTAACATTTGTGGAAGGGAATGTTTGTTCTGTCAGTAATTGTTCTACATTTGAGTTGAAGATAAATTTTATTTACAAAAGTTTTTCCAAAGTTTTCAAATATAACAAACAAGATACAGAGAGCATTAAACCAATATAATATGGAATCTATCAACTGTTTATTAATTTATTACTGTGAAACTTATATTTGTTATCTATATTTTTAAAAAATAGTAATTTTTCGATTGAATCAGTATCATGATCTTACTAAATGAAATCTGGGTGAGGGAACCTAAATGAACATGCTTTTTTACAGTATTAGTCTCTGAAGTGGTATTCATTATAACAGCCGATGCTCTGTGTTTCGAAGGCTAGACGTTTGGCCTCTGAACATACAGTTTAAACTCTCCTTCACCTACATTCTTTTAATTAGCCGTCAATTACTAATGGATAACACAAAATATCCCTCTAAACTAGTATTTGCAATATTAAACGTAAGTGAGAACTAGGATGTGTGATCAGTTATAAACGAAAAAGAGATTCATCAGCGTGTTGACATTTAAAGGCTGAAAGATATTTTAAGGTACTAATCCATTAATCATAGGTTTTTTTAATTTTATTAATTTTACCAGAAATGAACTAATAAGAATCACTAAAGAAAAGGATGAGTTAGAAAGACAGCTTATGGGGTACCGAATGGGTCTAGTTCAAATTGATTCGCGTTCTCATGGTCCAAAAAGCATGCTTCCTTTGGAGTTCATTCCTGGTCTGGCTGGTCATTCCACAACAACTACTGTACCATCAGGTGAAGACTGGCATAACTCCAGTTGTTATAGTGAAAAAGCTGTGTTACAGCAACCATGTTACAGAATGAACAATACTGTGTCTAGCTTGAAATATGAATGTAATAATCAACATACAAAATCACATGCAACATCTTCGCCATCAAACTATTCTTCAGATAAATTGAAAGCATGTAAACCGTATGGTTTATTATCAACATGCCATATAGAGAACAATATAAGCCATAGTTTGTTAGACTATGAGTCTTCAGATGAATCAGCTCCAAGGTCATCATATCCTATTTATCGACCAACCTCAAAGCAACCTATGAGTTCCAAGTGTGGGTAAGTTACAAGAGCCATAATCCAGTTGCTCTTCGCGTTTTTAATACATCTGAATCAGAGTAGTGAAGTTTAAAATAGGCAGAAAACGTATTTAACTGGGCAAAGCTACTACTTAAATAACTGAAAAATGTTATCAGTTTAGGAAATAAAGTAAAGTAAATAACTTAAAATATATGGATTTTTCAAGTATTGATAAAAATTTAAAATGTTTTAAAATCTTTTTAAGGTTGGTAGATTTTGGTTAGTATTAGATTTTGTGACGTACATTTCGTTCTTTTAAGGATTCGGTAGTTGAATGTACCGTAGTTACAATGGTAGTGTTCACTTTTTTGAACCTTGTACCTTCTTATTTAAATGTCGGCGCGTTGTCTGCAGATCTCATGATTTTAGTGAACCATTAACATGTGTAAGGGGTATGATCATAACTGTGAGAACTGGATAAGAAGCAGTGAGAAGCTGAGATTTACGAAAGACAATGATAAAATCAAAAACACAATAGAAACCTTATAAGCGGAGATGTACGGTGGCTGGCAGTGGAAACCAGGACTCACGTTTCATCCTACTTGGGACTCATCAGCTGGATGTACTTGCAGTCCTAAACATCAACGGGAAGATTCAAACAAACAACACAAAATTGTGTTACAACTAGAACCTGTTAAACAAATAGTCTTATTCATATATAAGTTTTGTTGTCTAGTCAAGGTATACTACGTATCGCTGAAATAGTGAAAATACAACAAGATTTTACGATGGAATTATGTTACCGAATGTTATACTGAACAAACGTCATACAGAATCCAAACGTGATTTTGTGTTTTATCTCACAATTTTTTTACAGCTAATAGGATTCAATGTAACCTCACAATGGATCATATTTTAGTGGCACAAAAAACCAAAATGCTGACAAAGCTACGTAAAATTGTGAACACTTACGTAATGTGTTATTTATACTTGGTTGGAATGCTAGATTCCGTAAGACCATTCATTCAGTATCCTAACTATAATATTCTGTATATAATAAAGGGCTTGAAAATTAAGCGTGAAACGTACTTGGAGGTTTAATTTATTGATGATATTACCCGGTAGAACTTTCGCACATATACGGGCAATGATTTACTACCATTTTAATTCAGTATTCATCGTCTCTCGGTTAAGAGTACTGAATACATTTTTGAGCTGGATACATTTATTAGGACTCAGTTTCTGCAAGCTGTTAACTCAAAAAACGAACACCATTAGTAATGTCTGTGAATGATCAACCGTAAGTTATTTCTTGCATTCAATTGTTACTACAAGTTGTTGTTAAAGAGCAACATAATGTAAAGATATTTTCCCATCATGTCAATTGTCCAACTATCATCAAAATTATATATACATAGTCTCCAAGGAGAACGAAAGTATCATAACAATAAAGCTATTTAAAAACTGGATCACAAAAGATAAACGTCAAGAAAGTATGAATCCAAGACCCTTGTCTTCAAATCTGGTTGGTTTCAATATCCATCAAGAAACGTTTACGATTTTATTAAACACAATTTGTCAGAAACTTAAACAAAAGGTCAGAAGTGTGGTTTCCTTGAGATAGCTCGATAACCTTTCTTTCGAGACGAGAAATGACTGAACAGGATACTTTATTCAGTTGAGTATAGTACATTGACGGTCAGTTCGTATAGAAAACAAAAGGACCTTCCATTTCTTTTCTGGAAGCACCATTATAAATACGTAAACCCTGTAAGTTACTATACTGGTTGATTGATTTATTATGGAACACTGAATTACGTCAAACAAATTGGAACTTAAGTGACGATTACCTCAACAGAAGCCGATAATTCGCATTTTAGTTCTCAATTAGTTCAAGTCACAGGGACCTGGAAAGGTAATTATATTATTAATAATAATAATAATCTTGAGTCGTTAATTTACAGGAAACCCAAGAGTATCATTTAGCGCTTGATAAAGAAATTTGAACACTGAATCTGAGTCACCGTTAATAGAAAACACATTTCCAGAAAGCTGCTGATAAAATCTTATTATAAACCCGAAATTTTTTTCAAGTTGACTTTCAATCACCGAATAAAAGCACTATCTTTCAGAATAGAAAATCCCTGGACAATCTTATCGAGAAAATAAATCTTTTAGTATTAATAGTGTTTATAACCATAATTCATTTGGTAGCCCTAAAACATTAAGCGGATTTACTTTTCAAATCAATTAGTTAATGACAATTTGAATTGCTCATATTTTTTTAATTCATAAATTCGTTAAATTCAAGGTATTAACATTTTGCTCTTTTAAAGTCATATGTTTTTGCAAACTCAATTTTGAAAACATCTTTCTGGACCAACTTAAATGTTGCTGACCAACTAAACAAGTTTCATCACGTTTTTCGAGGTCAATACTCACTGGTTTGAACGTTTAGTGATGACTATTCTACTGTGAAATTCTAGAAAATCCAGACTACCGTAAATGGTCAGAAATTGAAAGATTCATAATTTCTTTTGCTCAGATCAAATTACTCATAAAAGTTAGAAGGTATTAAAATACAAATAATGGGAGTGTGAAAAGTAGTAAATAAAATTAGGTATAGACAATATGATAAAATTTCAATAGAAAGTCCGGTAACTGCAGTTTAGTAATAAATCTGTTAACCCATAAACCTTGTGACTTAACGTTTCTCAGAGAATATTATCACTTAAGTTAACATGAATGTGAAATATATTTTAATGTTTTTGTATAAATTTTGAATTATAAAGGTACCTAATACCTGTTTATCAATGCACATTACCATATAAAGCTAACAACTTATTATCTGTGCTAGTAAATCTGGTCGACATTTATTTCGTGATACTGTCTTCGTTCAAAATGAACGACTTTTAAGTTTGTTATTGATCCTTTCAATTTATTGTCACCTTTATAATTGTCTCAAAATTATTTTTTTCAAAACTTAGAACGAGAACAACAAGTCTTTGGATTTCCTTGGGATCTGATACTCAGTTATAAGTGCTGGTAACCTAATAACCAAAGTAAATACTTTATTGCTTAAGAATTAATAGCACATATAAGACTGCAGATAAAGGACTATTTACTAGAATGCTGTTTTGTCCAAAATAAAACGAGATTATAATATAGACTTCAATGAACCGGAGGAAATCACCTTATGAGGATTTTAGTATCAATAAATAGACTTAAAATTTTACTACGAAATTATAGATTCCGAAGCTTTTATTTGATTTTTACCACAGTTCTCAATGTGATATTTTTTTGTTGAATTTTACTGTTTCTGTAGACTATCAGAGAAAAGAAAACAGTTCATATATTCAAAAGGTAGCTGGAAAACATGTGAAACAGTTAAGTATTGCCCTGATTATGACATTAATTCAGTACACTCACGCAGATTTAACGCAAGAAAACCAAGCCTAAATAAATATTGTAGTCAAGGTTTTGTAGAGGCAAATTTTAGCCCTCTTTATACATCAGAATCATCGACATCAAATGTATTTAACTCACGCAGTGAAGATGAATTTTCTTTTATATTTTGATGAAATGCATTGCTGATATTATAGCACACGTCGTTATGAGTCATGTTATTTGAGTTATCTCATCTTTGATTATTAAACCACATACAACAATTTAAAATGAACGGTTACTTAAATTTCTCAAACTTATTTGTCTTCATGCATTTTCATACATAAAACGCTTTTATATTTCTTTCTCACTAGTTCATCTTCAATCCTTACTTTAGTTACAAAACTAGCGGAGTTTTGTAATTGTGAAATAAAACTAACTATTTATACAATTCAATAAAGTGTGAGGTGTATACTTAGAGTTCTTTAAAAAATTTAACCAAAGTTTCTAAAAAAATCTTTATTTGGCCATTTCCAAATACAAATCAGTTTTGTTTTCATTTATTCTATCTCATTTATTAAATCTCATAAGTATAATTTATGTCAATGAAGCATTGAAATTCATATGTTTCAATAAATATAATAACACTAAAGAAACTTTCTGTTTTACTGTCGTAATTATATAGAAATAACTGAGTTGCTTCCAGTTAATCTGAACAGATCCGTGTGATTTGAAAAGAATATATAATTATTTCTAACTCAAATCTGCCGAACACTTAGTCCATTTCGGTGTGTACTAAGTAACATAAATCAATATTGGATCTAATAGGTGGCTTATGAACTCAATTGTTTTATATATTCAAGACTAGCGTATGTTTATTAAATAAATGGCGTCTCATATTATGTTGTCAAAAATTTGTAAAACGCTGAATTTACTGTAACTATATAACACCAGTAGTCAAAACTTGATCATTAATAATTTCATATATTTTCATTGGACCACAATGCTTGGAAAGCTCGGAACATTCTTTTTCCTCATATTGTTAGAATTAATAGTTAGTTCAGATACATAAATCCGATTTTTAGCGTAGCAAAACTAGTTACCTTGTACTGATATTTCCTTACTGTGAAACAAATTGTCTTTTGTTTTAGTAGTACGTGTGATCAAACATCTGACATCTATTCATAACAGGTCTTGTCATTTCTGAAGTAGATAAACAGTTAAGTTGATTTATATTACATCGGTTCATAAGATACATCAATAGTGACATCAAGCCTAGTCGTTCATTTTGTCCCATAAATATATAGAAGCATAAACTGAGTGACTAAATTTATCAAATACTGGTGTTTTGACACTGCCATTTTAAAAAATGGAATATTAAGAGAATAAACTAAATCTGTGTGTTGCTCAGCCTGATTTTTATCAGATCGGCTGAATTGATGAAAAAACTTAATCAAACTTTTGTGGATAAGAATTAACTCTCTAAAAAGGCCCAGAATTATTATTCGTTCTATCAGAAATGAAGCTACTAATGTAAATCAGCAATATATCATGTCTACTAAACTTTCTATTATTAATGCCAGTTAGCAGAAAACTATCTCAATTTAAATAACCCATATAATAAGAAATCAGTTTAACAGTCTTCTAATGTCAATCTGTTGCAAAACATTTATTTTTTAGCTTCAATATTCCTTCCATATATTTGCTCTTAAGACCCATTTTTATTAAAATTGTTCAAAGAATCCAATCTATCATTAAGTGCAACACTAGAACAATAAAATCTGTCTCATTAGGTAAAAACTTTTAATCGCTTTTGTGTAGTTGTAATAATTCGGTCAGTCAATTGCAATGTTATTTACTTCTGTATAGAAATTACTCTGTTCAGTCCTGCAGACCAAATAGATACGTTTTATCAAGTAGTTTTTGCTTCGGTTTCATTGGACTTAGGAAAGTATTAAGCCTAATGGCCAATACACTCCAGTTAAGTGTCGTGACAAACATCGCTTTTCTTCAAACAGCTTCCCTTCAGCTGTAAGAATGGCTAAATTGTTCATAAAAAAGAAGCCTACAGATTAGAAGCTATTGATTATTAGTTATTACAACCAAGCACCAGTTCAAAGGTGGGCAGCTTAATACTTTTACTGAATAAATCCCTTATTTTTTTCTAAAAATCCAAGTCTTCCATGATTCGTCCTGTTAACCTCAGTTATAAATGACACTAAAACCATCGTTATCCTGTTCAGAGATCATTTTGTGACTATTTGTAAATTTCTAGATAACTTTGGTTTACAACCCCTACATAATACTGATTTATTTTCCGTAGGACCTGATAGTAAAGATTTACCACTTATTTTCTTTAAGCGTATGTGTTTACAGTTACGCTGTGCAGTATACCTCATTTTGTATGCATTTCAGTATTTGAAAAATCATTTTTGCCAGTTTTCTTTAGTACATGTGAACCCTTTTTAGAAATATCGACATTGTCTCTAGTTGCAAGTTTAAGAAAATAACACGATGACAACTATAAAGGTAAATACTGCATACCAGTCTCAACATGCATAACAAAACTGTGACATATATAAATCCAAATGACGAATCCTATATCGTACGCAACTTGCGTACTGATTATCATCGTACTGATTATCACCATCATCTAAAAAACTATTTTCTTAGACCTATTTAGCTTTTCACTTACATTTTCAGGTTTCATGCAGTTCCGAATTCCGTACGATAACGTCATACAATTAGTTTTGAAATCTTAAGAAGGTTTTTCATCATGATAACACTTTCCATACGTTTGGATTATTATGAACACGTAGTGTAATAATTGATTTACATTCAAGTGATGTAAGAAACTATATATATATATATATATATATATATATATATATATATATATATATATATATATATATATATATAAATTCTTTGCATTTTCTTTGTGTTTATGATTCAGGAGAATAAGTTCGTGATTAAACAAATCAATCATAGTGAATGTAACCAATTTGAATTTAAATTGTTGTGTAAAAATGACGAAATTTACTAGTTCGAATGAGTGCGATAAATTCCTATTAATAAAAGCATACATTTGACGACTTCGCAAAATCTAAGTGAGTGGATATATGAATGTCTGTCAAAATCATTTGATTCATAATTTATAATATTTTATCGTGTTCAAGTCAAACATCTTTGAAAATACGTTTGGTATTCATAGTTTACTGAAATTAAAACCAGTTGAAATATTCAAGATCAGCTGATTAGGTTTGTCTGTTTTTATTTATGTTAAAATGATATGAAGTTCATTTCAGTCTTATTAATCACCACATTTTTGGCCAATTATTACTCTGGTTCACTAATTCAGCTTTTAAGTTATAAAAACTTGGCTTAAGCTTAGATTTAACGAAAGAAATATTAAAATGAATCAGGTTTCTGCATATATCTCAGCACTGGAAGAAATGAATATTTCTATAAGCATAGAAGTTTGTGATTTAGAATAACCACTTTTTCACAGTTTAACTACCAAACTGATTTTAGCTAGACCACGATTAAAAACTTGGAAGTACCGGATGGCTGTTACATCCTAATATGGTACTGCTCAGCAGTAAGCATCCATGACCATGAATCCGGAAATCAAACCCAGCATCTCCATTTGAGTGCATACTGTGAAAATCCTTTACGTTTCATAAATCCCCTATACTAAAATAATCACTGTTCAAAGTCGTAGGTAAATGAGGATTGTGGTAAGTCATGCGACACAAAATGGCTCTATCTAAACAGTTTAGTTAAATAATCCTTGTTTAGTGTTCTAATATATTCATATATATGTACTATCACTGAGACTGATTTCGTACATGATCGTTAGTTTCAAGATGTGATGCGTAATGATATGAATATAAATACCTATTTTGAAGTTGATTTACGTATACAGTTCTCTCGTGTTAAATAACAGAAAGAACCTGAAGTATTTTATAAGTCCGTGTGTGTCATCATATCACAGGGGCAGTTCAAAGTAAATCAACTGATCGGAATATGCAAAACTGTAACCCTCAAAGTTAACTGATATATGGATTACTGCTCTTGATTATTGATAAAGTAATAGTCCCTAAATTTTCTAAGTAACCCACTCACTTATTTTCGATTTTCGTATACATTTTGTGAGATTACAAATGAACTTTGAAATCAATCATTTTTATGATGTTGTGATCTTAGAGGGTGGGTTTCGATATTTTATCAGAGAAATAAACATTCAGAAACTTATTTTTGTATCGGTTGTTGCAATCTTCTCATCGATACTTGGGACTAAAATAGATCAATCTCTTATTGGTATATGTACAACCTATGCGCATTACCTCGATGTTGCCTCAAGTCACAGCTGACGAGTCCAAGACGGGACGAAATGCACGTCTTGGATTCCACTGCTAGCCACCATCCCTCTCTGCTTATTCAGAAACTTAGTATCATATCTTTTCAAAACGAGACCCAACATCTAACTCCTATTATATTCATTTTCACTATGCATTTTAATAATTTATACAGCCTATTGCAAAATAGAAAGTTTGCTTTAGGTTGCCATAAACCCTATGTAAAAGGCAATACCAGATGTGGTAGCTTTCGTTTCTTATCTTGCTGTGGTAGTCATATCACTTTTCATGCTTACACTTATTATCACAATATCCGAACTCATGAATAATTATGAGGCCCCATTACATCCCTTATCCTTCTAAAACTAAGGAAACTTTCCATTTTGTCAAACTCTGGTCATTTATTGTATTTTTTAGTCTTCTCAGTTACTAAGAAATATCTACTTACTTAAAAGGTAATTTACTCTATCTTTTTTGCATGGTGTGTAAATTCTCAAGTTGAATTAACTGATAAGTATTTTAACTGATCTCATTGTTCAATCTTGACATAAATTTAAAATATCTGTAGAGAGGATTTCTTTCTACTGTGAACCAATAAAATATCCAAGAAAACGAAACTATCATAACTCTTTTCAAATGCTTCAGTGTTGACACTTGTTTTGTTCTCTTTGTTGCCTTTTTTCAAAAGTTTTCATTAATTGACCTATTCGATGCTACTTCCATACCTTTTTCTACGTAGGGGACTATTCAGTGCTTCTAAAAATTAAAAATAAAATTCAGGTTTCACAGTTGTGACTTATCAGCATTTGACAAAATATCGATATTTTCAAAAT